AAGATCTGTGGGCCCTCCACATGCCTAACACATGTGGGGTACCTCACCCAGTGCACTCAGTGCCCCACAAACAACTATGTGTGTGCAACCAGACACTCACTATACTCTCCATGAACTCACACAGGAAAATGATAAAAGATAAAACACCCTGTCACCTGAGGGTGATCACCTTTCACAAAGCAATCACTCTATGTCTGACCTATGAGTACTCATCCTCAAAGAAAACCTGCAAATCACTTTCAAATGATGAGCCTAGGAGCTTAAATTCATAACTCTGCTAGACACTAACAATCATGGACAGAGGCACTGTCAGAGACACTGGATTTATGGTTATCACAACAATTTGTAACCAACTAACCCCCTCTTTTTGTCCTATGACTGCAGAAGTGTTAATGGGCCATACTACCTTGAATGGTCCCTTAGAATAGGGATAACAGAAACATGGTGGAATAGTAGTCAAGACTGGACTACAGCTATTGAAGGGTATGTGCTGTTTAGGAAAGACAGAAATAAAGGTAAAGGTGGTGGAGTAGCATTGTCTATCAATGATGAGGTAGAATGTAAAGAAATAAGAAGCGATGGAATGGATAAGACAGAGTCTGTCTGGGCAAAAATCACATTGGGGAAGAAAACTACTAGAGTCTCCCCTGGGATAGTGCTTGGGGTGTGCTATAGACCGCCGGGATCTAATTTGGATATGGATAGAGCCCTCTTTAATGTTTTTAATGAAGTAAATACTAATGGAAACTTTGTGATCATGGGAGACTTTAACTTCCCAGATACAGACTGGAGGACGAGTGCTAGTAATAACAACAGGGCTCAGATTTTCCTAGATGCGATAGCTGATGGATTCCTTCAGCAAGTAGTTGCTGAACCGACTAGAGAGGATGCCATTTTAGATTTGGTTTTGGTGAGTAGTGAAGACCTCATAGAAGAAATGGTTGTAGGGGACAACCTTGGCTCAAGTGATCATGAGCTAATTCAGTTCAAACTGAACGGAAGGATAAACAAAAATAAATCTGTGATTAGGGTTTTTGATTTCAAAAGGGCTGACTTTCAAAAATTAAGGAAATTAGTTAGGGAAGTGGATTGGACTGAAGAATTTATGGATCTAAAGGCAGAGGAGGCCTGGGATTACTTTAAGTCAAAGCTGCAGAAGCTATCAGAAGCCTGCATCCCAAGAAAGGGGAAAAAATTAATCAGCAGGAGTTGTAGACCAAGCTGGATGAGCAAGCATCTCAGAGAGGTGATTAAGAAAAAGCAGAAAGCATACAGGGAGTGGAAGATGGGAGGGATCAGCAAGGAAAGCTACCTTATTGAGGTCAGAACATGTAGGGATAAAGTGAGACAGGCTAAAAGTCAAGTAGAGTTGGACCTTGCAAAGGGAATTAAAACCAACTGTAAAAGGTTCTATAGCCATATAAATAAGAAGAAAACAAAGAAAGAAGAAGTGGGACTGCTAAACATTGAGGATGGAGTGGAGGTTAAGGATAATCTAGGCATGGCCCAATATCTAAACAAATACTTTGCCTCAGTCTTTAATAAGGCTAATGAGCATCTTAGGGATAATGGTAGCATGACAAATAGGAATGAGGATATGGAGGTAGATATTACCATATCTGAGGTAGAAGCGAAACTCAAACAGCTTAATGGGACTAAATCGGGGGCCCAGATAATCTTCATCCAAGAATATTAACGGAATTGGCACATGAAATTGCAAGTCCATTAGCAAGAATTTTTAATGAATCTGTAAACTCAGGGGTTGTACCGTATGACTGGAGAATTGCTAACATAGTTCCTATTTTTAAGAAAGGAAAAAAAGGTGATCTGGGTAACTACAGGCCTGTTAGTTTGACATCTGTAGTATGCAAGGTCTTGGAAAAAATTTTGAAGGAGAAAGTAGTTAAGGACATTGAGGTCAGTGGTAAATGGGACAAAATACAACATGGCTTTACAAAAGGTAGATTGTGCCAAACCAACCTGATCTCCTTCTTTGAGAAAGTAACAGATTTTTTAGACAAAGGAAACGCAGTGGATCTAATTTACCTAGATTTCAGGAAGGCGTGTGACACTGTGCCACATGGGGAATTATTAAATTGGAAAACATGGGGATCAATATGAAAATTGAAAGGTGGATAAGGAATTGGTTAAAAGGGAGACTACAGAGGGTCATACTGAAAGGTGAACTGTCAGACTGGAGGGAGGTTACCAGTGGAGTTCCTCAGGGATTGGTTTTGGGACCAATCTTATTTCATCTTTTTATTACTCGGCATAAAAAGTGGGAGTGTGCTAATAAAGTTTGCGGATGATACAAAGGTATTGCCAATTTAGAGAAAGACCGGGATATCATACAGGAGGATTTGGATGACCTTGTAAACTGGAGTAATAGTAATAGAATGAAATTTAATAGTGAGAAGTGTAAGGTCACGCATTTAGGGATTAAAAATAAGAATTTTAGTTATAAGCTGGTGACACATCAATTAGAAGTAACGGAGGAGGAGAAGGACTTTGGAGTATTGGTTGATCACAGGATGACTATGAACCGCCAATGTGATATGGCCGTGAAAAAAGCTAATGCGGTCTTGGGATACATCAAGTGAGGTATTTCCAGTAGAGATAAGGAGGTGTTAGTACCGTTATACAAGGCACTGGTGAGACCTCACCTGGAATACTGTGTGCAGTTCTGGTCTCCCATGTTTAAGAAGGATGAATTCAAACTGGAACAGATACAGAGAAGGGCTACTAGGATGATCCGAGGAATGGAAAACTTGTCTTATGAAAGGAGACTCAAGGAGCTTGGCTTGTTTAGCCTAACCAAAAGAAGGTTGAGGGGAGATATGATTGCTCTCTATAAATATATCAGATGGTTAAATACTGAGGTAGAGGAATTATTTCTCAGTACCAATGTGGACACAAGAACAAATGGATATAAACTGGCCATTGGGAAGTTTAGACTTGAAATTAGACGAAGGTTTCTAACCATCAGAGGAGTGAAGTTCTGGAATAGCCTTCCAAGGGAAGCAATGGGGGCAAAAGACCTATCTGGCTTTAAGATTAAACTTGATAAGTTTATGGAGGAGATGGTATGATGGGATAATATGATTTTGGCAATTAATTGATCTTTAAATATTCATGGTAAATAGGCCCAATAGCCTGTGATGGGATGTTAGATGGGGTGGGATCTGAGTTACTACAGAGAATTCTTTCCTGGGTATCTGGCTGGTGAGTCTTGCCCATATGCTCAGGGTTCAGCTGATCGCCATATTTGGGGTCGGGAAGGAATTTTTCTCCAGGGCAGATTGGAAGAGGCCCTGGGGGTTTTCGCCTTCCTCTGTAGCATGGGGCATGGGTCACTTGCTGGAGGATTCTCTGCTCCTTCAAGTCTTTAAACCATGATTTGAGGACTTGAATAGCTCAGACATAGGTGAGAGATTTATCACAGGAGTGGGTGGGTGAGCTTCTGTGGCCTGCATTGTGCAGGAGGTCAGACTAGATGATCATAATGGTCCCTTCTGACCTTAATATCTATGAATCTATGAATATGTGCTAACTACTTATGCTAAGCAATCTGTTCCATTTTGCATTTAGCTGGGACGCCTGGAGTACCTTTCAAAGACCTGAAGGAGAGCTCTTTGTAAGCTCCAAAGCTTGTTCTCTCACCAACGGAAGTTGATCCAATAAATATTACCACCTTACCTTCCTTGTCTCTCTAACATCCTGGGACCAACATGGATGGCCACATCTACACTGCCTACTACAAGAGCTTTCAAATTCAAAAACCAGGCAATTTTGGGGAAGGCTTTAGCTTTCACTTTGGTTATTATTTGTGGTGCACATTGAGGTAGCTTCATCAAAGCACCACAAATTCTAACATAGCCCAGAACTGGCATACCAATTTTCCAGCCTAATCCGACTGCATGTAGATTTTAGAGACGATTCAAAATTCTGCTTTAAACGAGAAACATGCTGCAGTCTTAACTATGGAGGAATTAGCAGTTGCTCCATAAAACATAAGCTCAAAGTCAGAGTTAATGTTGTTCTAGCCACTTTAATTCTGAATTTGAGATTTTGGGCTCATAAAGTTTCAAACCAATGTGTCATTTCTTTTTTCCATTTTATTTATTCTAACATACCAACTTTTCACAATCTATAATGTGTGGTAATGACCGCTATGCATTAGTGTACAAGAACACTCTGTGACAAGATAAAGCCAACAAGCTTGGAGACGGAACAGAAATATCTGAAATATAAAAATGAGGGTATGAGTTATTCCATTCAATAAGGCGGGTTTCTTAAGCTATGTGTACACTACGCAGCTTTTAGCAACACAGCTGTGCTGCTAAAGCCGTGCAACTAAAAGGCACGCAGTATAGCCGTTGTTCATCGGGAGGACAAAAAAACGTCCACCCTCAACAAGCGGCATTAGCTTTGTCAGCAGAAGAGCTCTCCTATCAACAAAGTGCTGTTCACACCGACGCTTCTCATTGGCAAAACTTTTGTCTTTGGGGGGGGTGGGTGTGTTTTTTTAACACCTCTCACAAAAGTTTTGTCTTTCACTTGCCAGTGTAGACAAAGCCTTAGTATGAGCCCTTCAAATGAAGACATGTTCCAGAAAACCAAACGGTTATTTAACTGTTGCAGTATGTGATAGACTCCTTGATATCAGGAAATTGCTCTGACAGAAGGATATCCCCTCCCCCACCAATGCGGGAGGAGCATTATCCCGTGGTTCCAGCCCTTAGCTTTCCCCTAAGTACAGCATCTCCCAGGTGTCAAACCAGCCCACCTCCTTGCTAGACGGGGGGGGGGGGGGGGGGGAGAGAGAGGGTTATCCCCTGGGTATTGACCTAATCTGACCCCTTGCTGTGTGGCGGCTTTAGTCTCAGGGCAAGAAGACAGTCTGGCCTTTTGCTGTAAGGGGGGGTGGGTTTGTGTGTCCATCCCGTCGGGTAATGAGCCAACCTGCCTGTGGGAAGGGTGCTCAAGAGACTGATTTTTACCTGTGTAATGAACTGGTCTGATGCATCTCTGTATTTCTCCAGCACAGCCACAGGGACAGGCTCCTCATACTCAAACTGTGGGTTGTAAGTATAACAAGATTGGAAGAACTTCTCTCTCTCCTTTTCAACATTCAAGGGCCTCAGGGCCACCAGCAGGCAAGGACTCCTCCTGCTGACGCTGATCTCCTCAGCCTTTGGCCTGGCAATATGAGGCAGGGAAGCTGCACTGCGGATTTGTGCACGCGCCCGGCCACTACTATTCACAGTGCAGGTGCTCTCGCTACGGCGCATCCAGCTGCAGGGGCTTGGGAAGGCAGGGCAGGTTTCTGACAGCCGCCTGACCTCAGGCCTTGCTTCTGAGGCCTTGGAGCACTTGAGCTTGGTAGGTGTTTTGGGCCTTTGGCCCTGGTGGGTAGGGTCTGAATCTGGAGATGGTGAAGGGGAGAGGTAGGAATAGAGTTGCAGCCCATTGTGTTCAGAGAACTTTTTCCTGGTCCTCTCATGCTGGGGGCTGGCGCTCAGGACACTGCGATGCCGCTCATACGACTGTGTCCCCGAGTCCAGCACCATCTTCCTTGGCCAAAATCCTTGTCAAGATTACATCAAACCAGGCCCTCTCCTCTCATCTCCGCCTTGTACCTACAGACAAACACAAAAAGATGCAGGAACTACACAAATAACCTCAAAAGAGAAGTCTCCCATTTACCAGAATGCTGTAACTGGTGACACCATAGTTATGAGGAACAAAATGCCTCTCTTCTTCTAATTTCCCAAGTAGGTTGGCTCCTACCTACATCTGCAGGTAAATTCCCCACATCCAGAAGTTCAGTAACCCCAGACGTGGAGACGAGCCCAGCCCAGCCACCAACTCTCCAGAAGAGATTAGACCAAAAAGCATCAGGTGATTTACAGCCTCACCTTCATTTTCACACTCAAAATTTTAGCTTTGGATCTAAAGTTTTCTGTGCTTGTTATGTACCCAGAGGTCATTTCCACAGTAAGCACGAGTACATGCACAGCTTGTGCACCGATCTAGTTTCTAAATGAACCTCATTAAACCAGTGCAAACCATGTCACTACCCCCACTGAGGGTTTAAGTGTCCACAGAAAGGGTTTGCTGATTTAATTAAATCAGTGCACACGCTGCACGGATACAAGCCCTAAGTGTGAGTTACAGGAGTAGAGAAAATGTGCTTTTCCTATTGTTAAAAAAAACTCAGTATTTCAATATAACTAGAGCTAACTTGCCCCTGGCAGAGTTCTCAGCGAGGAGCATGGATTTGGTTGGTTTAAAGGAAAAATTAAGAGTAAAGCAAAAATATAAGGTGCAGAGGTCTGCCTTACTGCAATGTTAAGATTGCGGAGTTAAAACCAAGTCAGGAAGTGCAGAAGTTACAGTTCCCACATTAACAAGAAATGTACAATGGCATGCCATAACATTTTTACATGCAGTGGTGTTGTAGCCATGTCAGTCCCAGGATATTAGCAAGACAAGGTGGGTGAGGTAATACCTTTCATGGGACCAACTTCTGCTGGTGAGAGAGAGAAGCTTTGGAGCTTTCCCAGACCTGAAGAAGAGCTCTGTGTAAGCTCTGAAGATTGTCTCTCTCACCAACAGAAGTTGATCCAATAAAAGATATTACCTCACCCATCTTGTCTCTCTAATTACATTTTTAGCCAGGCATGCAATTCTGCACGTGTATGCAAACAGGCATTCTCCATGCAATGTTACATCGCACATATGGTGCATGCAAGGTCACGCTATGTGGAGTACACTGTTCTTTTCTATAAAACGGTATCCTCCATGCACGCTCAGGGGCCAGACACTGGGTCAACCCACAGCTTGTGCTGAGGGCATACCTTGCATATGTTCCACTGGAACTACGTGCACTGAGAGGGCATTTCCCAGTCTTGTTTTCTTGCACAATGGGTAACTAACATCCCTCACCCAGGGTGAGTGAACACTTGGGGCAGCAAGTCAACTGAGGAACTGCTGCTTCTCTCACCGAATGGTCCCGCTACCACTAATTTTTCTACTTCGCACAGGAAAAGAGTAGTCCAAAGCATGTTGGGAAATAGAGCCCGTGCAGCTGCTGAGAGCTGGGGAGTTGATCAGGCAGCTGCTGCTAGAACAGCCTGTGAAGAGGTATGGGAGGGTGGGGTTTTTTGTGGAGATGGCGGTGTGCAAAACGTTAGGGTGAATTACATAACGACAAAAACAAATTAAATAACTGCTCAGGTCATGCAGCCCAGCAATCAAAGGTCAGGAAAGGCCAGAATGATGTCAGCCTTAATTATCCACTCCCCCCCCCCCCCTTATGGTGCAGTTCAAGACTTTATCATCCCCCACATTTATTTTTTAAACCCGCGGTGCAGCCTCCCCTGGGTGCAGGCTGGTCTAATGGGGAGGGGGGCAGGCCTGTGCAGACAGGGGGCCCGGAGGCAGGGGAACCCTGTGAGCATGCGGGGGGGTGGCGGGAGGCTCTGGGGCGCTGCAGGACGGGCCCTGGGAGGGGCAGGCGTGGCGGGAGCGCTGCGGGGCGGGGACAGCGGGGCGCTGCAGGGGGCGCCCTGGGAGGGGGCGGGGACAGCGAGGCGCTGCGGGGCGGGCCCCGGGCACAAAGGCCCGTCACAGGCCCCGCCCCGCCCCGAGACAGCAGGCCCCGCCCCGCCCCCCAGGCCCGCCCCCGCCTCCCGCCAGGGGGCGCCCCAGCGCGCGGGCGCAGCCGCCCCCCGCCTCATCCCTCGCGCGGAGCCGGCCGCGCCCACCGCGTGGGGGAGGGGCGGGGGCCGCGGCCCCGGGTGGGAGCGAGACTCGGTCCGGCCTCGGGTCACGGCCCCGCCCGGCCCGGCCCGGCCTCACCACCCCCGCCCCGCCCCGCCCCGCCCCGCTCCCAGCCGAGCGCCGCGTCTCTCACCCCGGGCAGGCCTCGCGCAGCCCGCAGCCGTCCTACATTCCGGCCCCGCTCCCCGCCTCCAGCCAATGGCGGGCCGACCTCGAATGGAGACCCAATCGGAGCGTCCCAGGGGGAGATCGCCCCGCCCCTCTTTCCCATTGGCCAGGCACAGGCGCGAGGCTTTCCCTCCCGGCGGGGCCGCGCGAGGGGCTCGCCCTGCGGAGGGGGGCTCGGGCGCGCGCCCCTGCCCCTTGCTTCGGTGTGCGCGCGCCTGTCCCAGGGACCTCCTGAGGGGAGGTGCGGCAGCCCCCTCCCAGAGACTCTGCCTAGGCCTATATGGATCCTATAGGCTCTTTGCACCCTGGAGACCCAACCCACCCTAGCCCCTAAATAAGCACCCTATAGATAACATGCAGTCGCCCTATAGACTATATGGTATGATAACACTCTTTCCATCCCACCAGTGTGTCGGCAGGATATTAAACAGCGGCTACTAAAGTTAGATAGTCTTAAATTGCAAGTCTGGATAATTTGTATCCAAGAGTTTTAAAAGAGCTGGCTGAGGTACTAACTGTACCACTCATGTTGCTTTCCAATAAGTCTTGGAAAACCAGGGAAGTTCCAAAAAACTGGAAGAAAGCTAATGCTGTGCCAATATTTCAAGAGAGTAAATGGGATGACCAGGGTAATTAGAGGCCTGTTAGTCTGACATTGATCCTGGGCAATATAATGGAGCAGCTGATACAGGACTCGATTTCATCCCTCCCCCCTTGCTTGCAACACAAAGGAAAGGCTATGAAGCTCAAGACAACTTTCTTCTGCAGCTAGACACCTGAATCTGAGTGGGGCATAATTGCCCCATAGAAAGGTAAAGCAGCAGGAAGGCCGTTGGTGGTAATGGACACATGGTCACAGTGTGGTTATGGCCATGGTGGGTTCTCTTAACCAAGAGACCCTGAATCACAGCCCACCCAGGGGTGGGGAGGACTCTGTTCTGCGGTGAGGGCAACATGTTAACCCCTAAATGGGAAATGGCTTCCTTGCATACACACAGCCTGGGGTTGGAACACAACTCCGGGGGGGCCTGCCAATGTGGGGGGCACCCTGCATCACCAGAGCCACAGAGGTATGGCTGGGTTAAGACCTACCTCTCAGAGGGACAAAACTACACTGACCCCCGCCGCAATGCTCAAGGGGTCACTTCCTACCCCAGGCAAGGGATAAGATAAGAACACCCCAGAGTGCAGCCACGATGGCTGACACATGCAGGAATTTGGGTTTACTGACCTCCTCGCTCCCTGGCAGCTGAGGGCACGGAGGCAGTGGCAGGACTCCATCCCAGTTTCAAACCCAATGGCTTTGGGGTGGCAAAAGGATGCGGGGCAGCATGAAAACTCCCCATGTGCCCCCTGCTGGTGCCATCTAACAGACCAGACCTAAGGGAGGATGTGAAACTGCTCTGGATTGTGTATTGGAAGTTTGATTGATTAGAAACTGTGCTGTAGGAATCATGAAAGTGCCTGGTAGGGCAGCTACCAAGAGATCGGAAATACAGCGTTGATTTTGTCATGAGTCTCATGATAATTATTGTTTTCCTTAAAGCCCCAGCTCCTGGAGTCAAGTGGAGATGTGATGATTTCAGCGTTCCTTCTTAAAGAAAAAGTAAGTTTCTAGCCCTCGTGGCTGTGGAGAAAGCTTCCAAATGTGACCCCAGTGCACCCTAAAGGCTCAAAAAGCAGAAGGCCAATAAAAAGAACACCCCATCTATTATTTTTAAAGCCAAGCTTGTGATTTCTGAACATTTGGCAATACTGGAAATAGGCTGTGGCATCTATGAATAATGTTTGTGTGTTCAAACTTCCCTAGCTCACTGGTCAAAGTGACCCTGCTCAGTTCAGTCTTGAAGGGGGAAGAGATATGACAAAGTGGGAATTTTCTGTAATATTTGTGTAAATACTATGAGTGCCTCAGTTTCCCTCTGTATGTGCATTGCTACCCAGCAGGTGTAAAATGGCTAACACTGCTGTTGGAACAGCACAGGAGGTGTGAGTGTCACCTCTCTGTCTCTGGAATGAAGAGTGTCATTGAAGAACTGGCTCAATTTGACCCAAATCAACAGAGGCTCCAACAAGCTAGAGAGACGCCCCAAGGACTGAATGATCAACACCTAACACAGGAAACCCAGCAGGTGGGACCTGGGAAATGAGCTGGAGAGAAGGGTGTCAGAAGGCTGGAATTGGGGTGGCCGTTTTGGAGGGACTCGGGAACAAGGACAGAGACTACCACCAGAGATGAGTCATCTCTGGCTGGCCATCATGGCTTAGCCAGGGTGGACCATGGCTTAACTTCTGCCTCTCTGAGCTAACCCCAGTGTGTTCAGATTCTGCAGCCAGGTGACCAATCGATGGTACCGTGGTTGGAGAGGCTGCCTGTGTCACTGTGAATACTCACTGAGAGCACTGCGCCCTGACAGGGGACAGCACAGGCCTCCCGCAGGAGTCTGGCTGGGCTGGATTCGGTGCAGGGAGCCACGAAGAGAGACGGGGTCACTGGTGCCGACTGCCCAGTCTCAGAGTCTTTGAGGTCACAGGCTTGCCCCAGTGGAACCGTGTGAGACCTTGGGGCCAGGCCCACTACAGGGGCACCCCCAGGAGACTGGTTAAAGGCTGGGGCACAGACCAAACCCTGGAACCGCATGACAGGGTAGGCTAAGGAGCTTGGCTGAAGCTAGAAAACCAATTTTCCGCAACCCTGTAAAAAGGGGCTTGCATGTGAAGAGTGGAAGACCTCCCCCAGCCTAGAAGAAAGCCCCTAAGGTGTTGATGCTGGACCTTAAAACCCACAATGCTTGGAGTGGTGAGGGGAAGAGTCACAGCTGCACAGGGAGTTCTGGGCAGGAGAGAGAAAGAGATGGGCAGGCTCATAGCAGTGGGAGCCCAGTTTAGCTGCGGGACCATGAAGGTCAGAGCACGCTGACCTGTGGGGGGAGCCGAGGCTCCATGGTTTGGAAGACAGGCCTTGCACTGCAGGAGAAGGACCCTGGATGCCAGAGGACTCTGACCCAAGCTCAAAGAATGCTCGGGAGTGGTGAGGATACTGAGGCAGGGAACAAGTGGGCTTCAGCCCACTAAAGCTTATGCCCAAATAAATTTGTTAGCCTCTAAGGTGCCACAAGGACTCCTCATTGTTTTTCCTGAGACAGACTAACACGGCTACTGCTCTGAAACCTGTCACCATGCAAGGCACTGAATTTAGCCGTATGAAGTGGAAATCCATCAACTTCATGAAAAAACTTGTGCAGATACAGGCAGACATCATCTTCCTTTCCAAGTGCAAACAGATGGACATCGTACCAAAAGGACTGAAGGTAAAAAATCCATTACAGTCTACGTACCACACAGACTATGATGAGAGATTGTGCCCCACACACTCAAAGAAACTGCGGAACCACCTGATCAACATCCTATACAGCAAACAGGGGAAGATCAAGAATGAGCTCTCAAAACTGGAGACTCTTATAAAAAACCAACCTTCCACCCAAACTTGCTCATGGCTGGACTTCACAAAAACTAGACAAGCCATTTACAACACACACTTTGCTTCTCTACAGAGGAAAAAGGACACTAAACTATCTAAACTCCTACATGCCACAAGGGGCCACAACAGTGGTTCCCTTAACTCACCCAACAATATTGTTAATCTATCCAGCTATAATCTTAGCCCGGCAGAAGAGTCTGTCCTATCTCAGGGCCTCTCCTTCTGCCCCACCACCCCCATGAACATGAGACAGTTCAGAGGTGACCCAGAATCCTACTTTCGATGTTGCCTCCTGAAGGTTGAAACAACAGACTGGACTTCTACATAGAGTTCTTCCGCTGAAGTACTCAGGCTGAAATTGTGGAAAAGCAGCATCACTTGCCCCGTAACCTCAGCCATGCAGAACACAATGCCATCCACAGCCTTAGAAACAACTCTGACATCATAATCAAAAAGGCTGACAAAGGGGGTGCTGAATAGGTCAGAATATGAACAAGAGGCTGCTAGGCAACTCTCTGACACTACATTCTACAAGCCATTACCCTCTGATCCCACTGAGGGCTACCAAAAGAAACTGCACCATCTGCTCAAAAAACTCCCTGAAGAAGCACAGGAACAAATCTACACAGACGTACACCCCTGGAGCCCCGACCAGGAGTATTCTATCTGCTACCCAAGATCCATAAACCTGGAAATCCTGGATGCCCCATCATCTCAGGCATTGGCACCCTGAGAGCAGGGTTGTCTGGCTATGTAGACTTCCTCCTCAGGCCCTACGCTACCAGCACTCCCAGCTATCTTCAAGACACCACTGACTTCCTGAGGAAACTACAATCCATCGGTGATCTTCCTGAAAACACCATCCTGGATACTATGGATGTAGAAGGCCTCTACACCAACATTCCACACAAAGATGGACTACAAGCTGTCAGGAACAGTATCCCTGATAATGTCATGGCAAACCTGGTGACTGACCTTTGTGACTTTTGTGACTTTGTCCTCACCCACAACTATTTCACATTTGGGGACAATGTCTACCTTGAAGTCAGCAGCACTGCTATGGGTACCCGCATGGCCCCACAGTATGCCAACATTTTTATGGCTGACTTAGAACAACGCTTCCTCAGCACTCGTTCCCTAATGCCCCTACTCTACTTGTGCTACATTGATGTCAATTTCATCATCTGGACCCATGGAAAAGAAGCCCTTGAGGAATTCCTCCAGGATTTCAACAATTTCCACCCCATCATCAACCTCAGCCTAGACCAGTCCACACAAGAGATCCACTTCCAGGACACTACGGTGCTAATAAGCGATGGTCACATAAACACCACCCTATACCAGAAACCTACTGACAGCTATACTTACCTACATGCCTCCAGCTTTCATCCACACCACATCACACGATCCATTGTCTACAGTCAAGCTCTAAGATATAACCGCATTTGCTCCAATCCCTCAGACAGAGACAAACACCTACAAGATCTCTATCAAGCTTCCTTAAAACTACAATACCCACCTGGTGAAGTGAAGAAACAGATTGACAGAGCCAGAAGGGTACCCAGAAGTCACCTACTACAGGACAGCCCAACAAAGAAAGAAACAGAACGCCACTAGCCGTCACCTACAGCCCCCAACTAAAACCTCTCCAGTGCATCATCAAGGATCTACAACCTATCCTGAAGGATGATCCCTTACTCTCACAGACTTTGGGAGACAGGCCAGTCCTCGCTTACAGACAGCCCCCCAACCTGAAGCAAATACTCACCAGCAACTAGATACCACACAACAAAAACACTAACCCAGGAACCAATCCCTGCAACAGACAGCGTTGCCAACTCTGTCTGCATATCTATTCAAGGGACACCATAATAGGACATAACCACATCAGCCACACCATCAGGGGCTCATTCACCTGCACATCTACCATTGTGATATATGTCATCATGTGCCAGCAGTGCCCCCCCGTCATGTACATTGGCCAAACTGGACAGTCTCTACGCAAAAGAATAAATGGACACAAATCAGACATCAAGAATTATAACATTCAAAAACCAGTAGCAGAACACTTCATTCTCCCTGGGCACTGAATAACAGACTTAAAAGTGGGAATTCTTCAACAAAAAAACTTCAAAAACAGACTCCAACGAGAAACTGCAGAACTGAAATTAATTTGCAAACTGGACACCATCAAATTAGGCCTGAATAAAGACTGGGAGTGGATGGGTCATTACAAAAACTAATTTCCCCCTGCTGATACTCACACCTTCTTGTCAACTGTTTGAAATGAGCCACCTTGATTACATTGGCCTCATTAGTTTTCACCCCTTCTTGTCAACTGTTGAGAATAGCCCACTTCCACCTTAATTGAATTGGCTTGTTAGCACTGACCTCCAACTTGGTAAGGCAGCTCCCAGCTTTACATGTGCTGTGTATTTATACCTGCCTCTGTATTTTCCACTCCATGCATCTGATGAAGTGGGTTTTAGCCCACGAAAGCTTCTGCCCAAATAAACGTGTTAGTCTCTAACATGTCACAAGGACTCCCCATTGTTTTTGCTGATACAGACTGACACGGCTGCCACTCTGAAACCCATGGAGGTTTAGTGTTTTTGTATAGACTTGTGCATTTCGTGTGCAATTTAGTAAAGAGCAATGGTGAGGGGGTGCTAAGACAGAGGATCTGCACCCCAAGAGTGGGTCTAGAGACCCCCAGTAAAGGCAGTGCCTGGGCTCTGTTCAGACTCCAGCGGCTTAAAGCCCACAGGGATTCAGCATTTGGATCCTCTCATCAGTGTGCTGAGTGCCCAATGCAAGGCTCTCCTGGGACTCCGACACCTTCGGAGAGAGAAACAGGAGTGCCTCTGGCAAAGAGGTGTTTACACAGTGTTCCTCAGTGCCCTGGGCAAGCACGTCAAGGCTGGTGCATGCTCTGCAAGCCCTGGCCTGGGCTGGCTGGAGTGATCCTAGCCTGGCCTCAGAGTACTTTATGCAGGGGCTAGCCCCCTGCTCCAGTGGATACTTCCAGGGAGGTGCTTCTCTCTCAGTCTCAGGCAGTAATTCTTCCCGCTAGTCCTAGTGATGATGGGCTTGTGATGGCAGCAGTTAGCAAAGGCCCAGCCCCAGAGGTGTGTGCCTGCTGCAGCCGGCAATAAGGGCATGCCTGGAAGCGGAGCACTGTGCACAGTTATTGCAGAGAACAGTGACCATTTGTGCAGTGGAAGATGCTGTCTGAACGTCACGAGGGAGAGTTGCTCCCCTTGGTCCCTGTGCACAGCCTGGTGGGACCCCAGACGTGGGTCACTGGCCCCTCACTGCAGTCAGCCTCATTCACAGGCCTTAAAGGGCCTGGCACATGCATTCAGTTACCCAGCTGCCTGTGGCTCTCCAGCTCTAGGATGAGGGCAGGATTCATTCTCTTTGAGCTGAACAGCTCAGCTTTTCAGAGAGGCCCCACAAAGGCCCCTGATTTGCAGCGCCCCTTGGGCGCAGATTTCTTGAGTGCAAATCCAAGCCTGCCTGCTGCAGAGCCCAGCACAGGGACCAAGGGGGCAGAGCTCAGACCTGGCACAGGCTGGGATTGCCCTGTGGCCAAAGTGGCCTGGTGAGTGTGGTGCTTTGTCTCTGCCTAGTGGCCCCTAGACTACCTGAAGATTAATGAGTCTGCTACAGCCTTGGCTAAGAGCCACGTGGCTTGTAGCTCATGCAGTAGAGGATCATACACTAAACTTCAGAGGTCCCAGGTTCGATCCCGCCTGCCAACAACCGGGGTCTGTTGGCGTTACGCTAGCAGGCCAGTGATGGCAGTGTCATGGTGACACCTGCCAGCGGGATGGAATTAGCTGGCAATGTAGTTAATTACCCATCTGCTAATATGCAAGTAACAAGCCTCTAATGTGTAATTAATCACCATTCACAATACAAAAGCCAGTCAGAGCAGGAGTGGGTGCTGCTTTGCCCTCCACGGGCACTTGGATTTGAACCCTTTGCTGGAGGGCAGCCAGTCAGAAGCAAAGCTATCCCCAGCTGCCTTCAGTTCATTTTGGGGTTCTTAGTGGCCCTCTGACCAGAGAGGTTCTTCCTGGCCCGTGTTGGCTCTGGGTTGAGTGGGAAGAGGGTCTTTTTCCCATTCCCTCCCTGCTCCTCCGCGCGGGCCTGCAAGCTGCCCAGCAGTATCTCATTGATGTAGCTTAGTGTTTGGTTGTTGAAAACCATACTGAGGTGATCCACTCCGGGCAGCTCCACCACATGCACTCGCTGCTTCTGCTGCTTGTCCCATCGGTCGCACAGCTTCATGCTGCGGGTGCTGACGGTGTCGTCCCCGTCCCCATAGACCACGTCCACGGGGTCCTCGTAGGGGAAGCGCTCGTCATAGATGTAGGTCTCCACTGTTGGGAGGCCCGTGCCGTAGAGGCAGTAGGTCTCCACACCCGGAGGAGGCAGCCCCTTCAGCAGGTCCTTGGTGTCATTCCACATGTACCAGCCATCCTCAAAGTTGACGTCGAGGAAGAAGCGCCGGTAGTCCCGGTACGTGTAGTTGTAGGATGGTGTGGAGATAAAGACATGTGATTCGGGCCAGGCTATGTTGGTTGGGAACACCCAGGGGCTTGTGGTGGCCATGCGCTGTTCCTCACGCAGCTTGATGTTTGTGACCATCGGGATGCCCTGGTTATCTCCTGCAATTCACACAGGCACTCATCAGGAACAGCAGCTCTAGCAAAATTAACAGCTGTCCCAAAGCAGTGTACAGACTATACATACAGAGATCATTCACTGCTGAAATGCAGCCACCTCTGGGGGGCAGGAGGAGGGGCAAGGCTGCTGCTCAACAGGTGCACTGTAATTCAGGGCAGGCGGCCAAGAGAAATATTGTTTTGAGGTAAACTATTGGACTATTAGCTAATTCAAATGATGGAACATCCAGCAGCACAACTCTTAGCACCTTGTAGCACCGGGGTCATTCCTGAGTGTGTGGGGAGGGCGCCCCCTACAGAGCACCCTGCCCTGCTGCAGCACAGCGCCCGGTAGCACTGCACTGGGGCATTGGGGTCAGCACTAACTCTAAGGGGAGAACAACGAGGAGACCTTGTGGCACCTTAGAGACTAACACATTTATTTGGGCATAAGCTTTATATATATCTTGTGCTATATGCCATCATGTGCCAGCAATGCCCCTCTGCCATGTACGTTGGCCAAACCGGACAGTCTCTGTGCAAAAGAATAAATGGACACAAATCTGACGTCAAGAATTAGAACATTCAAAAACCAGTCGGAGAATACTTCAATCTCCCTGGACACTCAATAACAGATTAAAAGTGGCAATTCTTCAACAAAAAAACCCCCATCAAAAACAGACTCCAGTGAGAAACTGCAGAACTGGAATTAATTTGCAAGCTGGACACCATCAAATTAGGCCTGAGTAAAGACTGGGAGTGCCTGGGTCACTACAAAAACTAATTTCCCTCTGCTGATACTCACACCTTGTCAGCTGTTTGAAATGGGCCACCTTGATTACATTGAACTCGTTACCATTGCAAAAGTGATTTTTCCTCCCTTCTTGTCAACTGTTGAGAATAGCCCACTTCCACCTTAATTGAATTGGCTCATTAGCACTGACCCCCCATTTGGTAAGGCAATTCCCAGCTTTTCATATTCTGTGTATTTATATCTCTCTACTGTATTTTCCACTCCATGCATCTGATGAAGTGGGTTTTAGCCCACGAAAGCTTATGCCCAAGTAAATTCGTTATTCTCTAAAGTGCCACAAGGTCTCCTCTGTTGTTTTTGCTGATACAGACTAACACGTCTATGACTCTGAAACCTGTCACTATCTAAGGGGAGAGCACTCCCTATGAATCACACACACCACTCCTTACAGCCACAGTCCTTCCCTGCTGGGCATCTGTCCCTGCTTATCATAGAATCATAGAATATCAGGGTTGGAAGGGACCTCAGGAGGTCATCTAGTCCAACCCCCTGCTCAAAGCAGGACCAATCCCCAATTTTTGCCCCAGATTCCAAATGGCCCCCTCAAGGATTGAACTCACAACCCTGGGTTTAGCAGGCCAATGCTCAAACCACTGAGCTATCCCTCCCCCCTGCTTCTCTAAGCCCAACCAGAAGTGTGTGTGTTGGGGGCGGGTGGGGAAAGGGTTTTGTGCTGGGGGAGTTTCTCAGCTGGTGGTGCTGGGTGTCCAGCAGGAGGGGAAAGGGTCCTAAGCCTGTGTTAGGTTTTCTGAGCCTGCTGTGTGTGTGTTGCGGGCGGAGGGTGTTTCCAAGGGTGCTGGGCAGGAGAGCCAACTCCCCTGGTTTTACTGCAAGTCTTGCCATATTTGGTGTATTTTGGAAAGACCCTGCTCCTGGAATCCTGTGATTATTCCAGAGAATGTCAGCGTCCTTTAAACCAAAAGTAAGTTTCTGACCCTCCTGTCTGTGGAGAAAGGCATGAAAATGTGACTCTAACACAGTCCTAAAGGCTCAGACACCAGCAGGCAAAGGAAAAGCACCCACGTCTTTTTTCTAAATGTCATGATTTTTGAACTTCTGGGGTTTACAATACTGGGTGAGGGTACAGATACAACGGAGGGGGGACGGGCTGTGCTGGCAGGGTTGGGTGTGTGGGAATGGTGAGGAACGGTGGGCCTAGGGCTGGCCAAAAAACTCTCAACAAAACATTTTTTGTCGGGAAATGTCGATTTGTTTCAATGGGGACTCTTTGCAGGAACGTATTGGCTGTGACACAGCCTTCATCAGGAGAGGACTCTGGTGCACGATGGAATGTCTGGTGGGGAGGGAGACCTACCCCAGATCAGCCAATGGGCCACGTTGTATAACTACAAGTCCTCAGGCCAGACAGAGAACAAAACCACCAGGCTCGGTAGGCCATTGGGGTGAGTGTGCACCTGGGATGTAGGAGACACAGGTTCACGTCTCTGCCGTTCCAGGGGAGTGCCCTGATGCAGGGTTAGAGAGTCAGTGTCTCTGGCCCAGGGATTATTTATACAAAGTAGAAGAACATCAACAGGAGAGCCTGAGAGATCCCTGCCCCAGAATAGCCCCTTGCCTGCTTGATTAGGAGGAGGGAGAGCTTAGTTCAAGTCCCCCCAAATCAGGCAGAGCAGGGTCTTGAACCTGGGTCTCCTGCATCCTAGCTGAGTGCCCTAAACACCAGGCAAGGGGCTCTTCTGGGGTGGGGGACCTGTTTCCCAAGGAGCTGTAAGTGGAGTGAATTGGGAGGAGGGTGTGCGTGGTACATGCAGGGAATAGCAAGTAGAGCTTCAGTGGGAGTCTTTTTACTGTTCCTTTCCTACGGCAGGGATTTCCTCCCCTGCCTGCTCAGATGTGCTCGCCCCTGGCCAGTGCAGCAACGCTACCCAGGGTGGGCTCCCTGTCACTGGACTTGTGCTCCCTCAGGGACAGTGCGGTCAGACTCCAGGTGGTTGGCGAGCTCCCGATGGAGCCATTTGCAGCCCCCTGCCCACCCTGTACCACCCTGGGGGCTCTACAACAGATTCCCACCTCCTCACTACTCCATGAAAGGAAGGCAGGAAGTGGACAGTGGGAGCCATCACCCACCGGAGGCCAGGACGAGCATGGACTTGACGGCCCCGCCCCAGGGGGCACCGAGGGAAATGAAGCCCGCGATGAACCGGTCTTTCCAGGCCTGGGGCTGCTGCCCCAGGAAGTAGAGGATGTTGAGGTTGCCCATGCTGTGTCCGAGCAGGAAGACCCGTCTCTGGTAGGTGTCATGCATCTCCTCAATCAGTGCCTTCAGGTTCTGGAAATACTCGGGCTGCTGGTCTGGGGAGAGAGGGGCATTGTGCCGGGGCAGGGCAGCCATGGCCAGCAGGAGCAGCTCCCTAGAACCCGGCACAATGAGAGACACAGCAACCCAGGCCTGGACCGGAGGGGCAGCAGAGGAAACGCACTGGGGAGCACTCAGACAGGCCCCCCCACTAGAGGATCACTCCCTGCGGGGTCCCCCCATTCCCGCACTATATGATCATTCCCAGCTGGTTTCCCTCTCCCCACATTTCTCACTGCAGGGCCCCCCTTCCCCTCAAGGGTGTCTCTTTCAGGCTCTCTAACCCTGCTCCCCGTCAGGCTTGCTGGCCTGGTTTCCCTCCTGGGCACGGGGCTCTCCCTGGGCGCCAAGCTGCCAGGGTGGGTGCCCTTCTGCCTCCCTCCCTGTCTGTCTGGGCTGAGGCGGAAGCTGGTCCCAACCCTGCACTTACTGGGCCCAATCCTCCAGTCGTAGGGGGCAGCCCGTACTGTCTGGTCCCGCACGTAGCCATTGTTCACCAGGTTCTGCACCAGGGTGTGTAGGTAACCTAGAGAGAGACAGCACAGAGACTGGGGGGACCCCGAGAGAGACAGCATAGAGGTTGGGGGGACCCCCAGGGATACAGGGCAAGGATTGTGGGGTCCAAGGAGGTACAGGGTGGGGGTTGGGAGGCTCTAGAAACATAGGATGGGAGTTGGGGGCAGCCAAGAGAGAGAGCTGGGGGAGACAGATAGCACTTCCTGGTGCAGGCATAGTGTGGGAGCTGGGGGTCCTTGGCCACGCATTGCTGTCATGATATTTATTTAAACAGTGACATGTAATATATCGTTTGGAATCTAATAACACACTGGTCATTAATACCACTGTGAAATGTGTGTCACAAAGCTGTAGGTGAAATTATGGATGCTTTCTGATCTTGCCTCTTGGAAACTGTACAAAGACAAAGCCAGACGCAGGTGTAGTGTGTCACAAGGGTTTCAATAAGGTGAAGAAAACCCTATTCTGGCTAGTCCAGATTTTGAACTCTGTACAGATGCACCAGATGTTGGTTTAGGTGTAGAACTAATGCAGTCAAAGGAAACTAACAAAACCACCCCTGTTAGGCTATAGGAACTCGGGCAGCTTCTCTTTAGCAAGAAGTTCAGGGTCCCAACTGACCACTCCCCATTGGTTTGCTTGCCCAAAACCAAGGGATCCAATTCCAAGCTGCTATGGTGGAGCATGACACTGCAAGAATATGACACATAAAGAGAAAAGAAAACCTGGCAGCAGATACCCTGTCCTGCGTGCTTGGATGCTGGCTGTTGGTGCCAATGGCCGTGCCACACTCACATGCCATGAGGCAGGATGGGGCACTTGCTCCAAACCAGAGGGGGTCCCTTTTTCTCCTACAGGACACGCAGGAGACCAAGCAGGTTCTGCAGAGGATCCAGCAGAGGCAGCAGCGACGGTGAGAGCTGGGGAGGCTGGAGCGGAAAAGGCTGCTAATGGAAGAGAGACGCGTGGAGCTGGAGGCCAGGCGTCTGAGTGAGGAGGCAGAGTTGGAGCAGCGGAAGCTTGCTGACCAGGCCCAACTCAGGCAGCTCAGACAGAAGAGGAGGGGCAAGTCTCACCTGTGGGACCCAGGAGGAAGGACATAATGGCATGCCTGATCAGGGGCTAGCAGACCACCCAATGTGGGTATGATGGACCCCATCACTCTGCCTGTAGCCTGAGGCATTCTGGACACTAAAGGTTACTCTGGGATTCTGACTGGGGGAATGTGGGAAGTGATTTTTTGGTGTGTTGTTTTCTGTAACAATGTGACAGGGTTGAGCCTGAGGGCTCAGGTACAAGCCTGCCACGGCCAGACTCAGTGGTGAAGGGGGCAAACCCTCACTGGGGAAACCGAGTCAGGGTTGAATGTGTCTGTGGCAGGATCTGCTAGGAGTGGGGGACCCTGTCATATTTAGGTAAATAGCTGTGGGCTAATGCCCCACTGAGAACAGGGAAGAGTGCTGGGAGTGGTAAGACTCTGGCACAGCTGTGGGCCAGAATGCCACTGAAATCAGGGAAACTGAGGCACAACTGGACAGTTCTGTGGCCCAAAAATTGTAGGGTGCAGTGAGACACTGGCACAGCTGAGGGTAGCCGGGGGCCAGCACCCTGCTGTGAGTAAAGAAGACTCAAGATGATAAGAGACCTGGTTTCACTCCTTTAGGGGTGGCAGAACCCTTTACTGGCCTGGGTGACCCAGATGGGGGAGAAGCAACCACCAGGGGGGCATGAATGCTAAGTGCAGGAAACATGACCCCCAGTCTGTGGGCTCAGGGGGACTTTGAACCAACATCTGTGGAGTAGCCAGTGGCTAATCCTATGGGAGGGGTGACAGACTGCTCTGTGTCAGGCCTGAGACACAGTTACCTAACTCACCGTTGTCATAATCTGTACATACAACCTGGTAACACCCTGGTCCCAACACTCAGTATGTGGTGTATGTACGGGGTGCGTACACAGAGTTATAAATGTGTGCTAGAATTATGTTCTTAACATGTGTTTGGTAAGCAGTGCATAACCCGGTCTGCCCCCGAGAAAGAAACGTGGATTTGCTCGTCTGGTGGTCAGGCAGAGACAACGAAGGCACATTTCCATGAAAGGTAAACAAAGCCATCAGAAGATTTCGTGGGGAAAGACCACTTGACGGGGCATGATAGGAAAGAGAAAAAGCCATTTTAGCATCCATCACGTGAGGGTCTAAGAGCCAGAGCTCTGAAATCACAGAATGTTGGATCCTTCAATCTTTGGGAGCTGAGGCGAGGTGAGAAAAGACTGTCATTTGCTGGAATTACGTTTTAGTCTCAGAAACATATTTTTGCTTTTGATTGCTTGTAACCCTTCCTGTCTGTATCCCTTCTACTTGGTGTCACTTAACCAGGGCCGGATTAACTCTTCTGTGGGCCCAGAGCTATTAGATGTTGTGGGGCCCCTGTATACAAGTCTTTTTTCCTAATTTAAAACAAAATGATCGCAATTATGGCATCGAGGGTATTAACGCTATACGAAACTTGCCTTTAATTAACATAAAGCTGTTCTGTGGTTACATTTCAGTCTTAAAATATGCAGAATATAGTTAAGTTAATTCAAAATAGCCTGCTTCTTACCTTAAAACAGCTGTTATATTCGTTTCATTTTGGGAGGGAGTTTGGGTGCAGGAGGGGGCTCCAGGCTGGGGCAGTGTTGGGATGCAGGAGCGGGTTAGGGGTGCAGGCTCTGGGAGGGATTCTGGTGCAGGAGGGGATTCTGACCTGGGGCAGGGAATTGGGGTGCGGAAGAGGGTGTGGGGTGCAGACTCTGACTGGGAGGCACTTACCACGGGCGGCTCCCGGCTGGTGGCACAGTAGGGCTCAGGCAGGGTGCCTGCCTGCCATAGCCTCACTCCACTCCTGGAAGCAGCTGGCTGCTGACACATCTCTGCACGCCCCTGTGGGAAGGGGGACAGCGCATCTCTGTGTGCTGCCCGCACCCACAAGTGCCTCCCCCGCAGCTCCCATTGGCCAGGGACCGGCCAATGGGAGTTGTGGGGACGGTGTTGGGGTGGAGGCAGTGTGCGGAGCTGCCTTCCCCCCTGCCAGGGACCGCAGAATCGTGCCAGCAGCCGGCCGCTTCCGGGAGCGGCGTGGGGCCACGGCATGCAGGCAGCCTGCCTGAGCCCTACTGCGCTGGGGCCTCCCTTAGCCCAGAGCTGCAGCCCCTAAAGCCCCTGTGTTAATCCGGCCCTGCACTTAGCCCTATGGCTTTTTGTGTAATGTGCTTGTTTTTCTTTTAATATGAACTGACAGTGCTGTGATTGACTTAAGAGTGTCAGACAATCCCTAGTAAAATGAACGAGCTGCTGTTTACTGTCTCTCTAAAGGAGCAGCAAACTTAATTACTTCTCTGAGCACTCTAGGAGCGGGCTGGGCAGTGCAGGGCAGATGGGTTGGGGGAAATTCGGGACTGGCGAGGGTTGGGGGTACCTTGCAGAAATTAACTGGGTGGTGGAAGCCAGGGTGTAACCTGCTGGCTTGTCTGCTGGCTGTGGATATCCGGGCTGTGAGCCACACGGCAGAGCATTCAAGGCACCCACAGTTGCAGGGCAGGTGGTGACATAGCCTCTCACTGGTCAGGGTTGAACCCCAAAGCATCACAGGGGACTCTGGCCCTTCACCCAGATTGCATTCCTCCCCACTTCTGGGCTGTGGGCAAGCTCCTGCCTGGCCTGTCCAGTGTCTGAGTCCCTCTGGCCAGAGGCGTTGGCTCAGTGCATTCTGGGCGCTGTGCTCTGGGTCTCCTCACTCCCTGGGATGGTTATGCCTAGTGGCATTGTATGGCCCTCTCCTCTCAGACGCGGGTCACTGCACCATGGGCTTTGCAGAGATCTTGCATCCGCTGGCCCTCAGCTTCCCGCCGCCTGCTCCTGGCTGTGGGGTTGGGCTGTGCAAGGGTCCCAGAGCTGGGACAGACTCAGGGATAAGGGGTAATGGTCCTGGGCTTCAGAGAGCCCTGCAAAGCCAGGCCTGGGCAAATCCTGCAGCAGGCAGGGACCCTTTTCTACTGCTGGGCACCAGCAGCAGGATCAGCACCCTGGGAGCTCCCCCAGGCCATGAGGACCCCTTGCCTTGGATACCGAAAAGGGCACCCCTCACCTGCCAGCTTGCTCTTGTCCAGGTACTCCACGGAGTAGGTCTTGCCAAAGCCGGGCACACGGATTTGCACCCCAGGCGCATTGGACATCTTGCCGGTACTTCGGTTATACACCACTCTGCAAGGACAGGACAGGAGATGGCAGGTGGGTGGCAGATCCACCCTGCCAGGGCGCAAAGGCGAGGCCTCTGGGTGGGGACAGAAATCCAGGCAACCCCCATCCCGCATGGGAAACACCCTGCTTGGGAATTGGGGATGGGAGTTGGGAATAGGGCTTGTTTCTAGGGCCCATCGCTCACTGCAGGGTACGTGTCAGCCCTGAATAGCCGATGAGGTGGCTGTTAAGATTTTGCATTATTCGTGGGTGTGAAGGCTAGAGGAGCACATTGTGACCAGTCTGTATATCCTGGGCCAGAGGATCTCACCTAGGGATCCCTGCATCGGTCCCAGCCCTCCCAGGTGAGCTAGAGCAGGTCAGGTGCGTTGCAAGGGGCACAGATGAGTCCTGGTCAGCTAGAGGCAGAAATCCCTGGTGACAATGCAGGAGACCTGCTGTGTGGGGTTAGGAGATGGGGAAGAGGTGGCCCATAACTTGGCATTTCCTGGCTTTTTAGGGTTTGCCGTGGCGGGAAGGGGGGACCACACTGACCCAGGCTGACCCCTCCGAGGTGAAGGTTCTGTTTTGTTTATGTAGGAGGATTTTGGGTCGGGGGGGGGCAGGGATGCCCTCTGGACTCCCCCTCCGGCGTGTGGGGACAAGGAGGGAGCACCCATGTCTGAGGTTGCAGGGAAGAGGGGGTTAATTGCTTGCGCGGAGAGGCCTGGTGAATCCATCTCTACTCTTCCCAACTCCAGCACAATGGAGCCTGTGCTCCGGGGCCGGGGAGCCTGTCGAGTGCTGATCTCTGACCTGTGCCCGCCAGGCCAGGCCTGGCTCTCAGAGCAGAGGAGTCTGTCCAAGCTGCACAGCGTTAACAGACACTGGAGAGCCCCTGGCCCTGGAACTCAGAACGTCTCAACCCCAGGAACCTTGGCCACCTCTCCCCAGCCGAGCTGAGCTCTGTCACGTGGGCCCTCTTCTCACAGCTCCCAACCCTAGAACACAGGGGGCAGCCCTTTCCCCCGAGCGTCATCTGCGGCCTCAGACCCGCTGCAAACACAGAGCCACGGTCTGGCGATCTCGACTCAGCGGCAGCCTCGCTTTTGCACGGCTAGCAGAGCCCTCAAGTGTACCACAGCTTAACCGATTTGAGGGAGGGGGAAGCCGTCCTCATTAAAACAGCCTGGCGAAGGTGCACTGTGGTGGGAGCCAGGAGACCGTGAGGTCAACTCTCACCTCGGTTTACATTTGCGTGTGTGTCACAGCCCTGATTCTGAGCAACACCTGGGGCTAGGTAAGAGCCAGCCTCCCTCTTGCACAAATGCGGTAACTGGGGCGATCTCTAGTTGCTCTGGGAATAGAATCCAGGTCTCTGACAGCCGACCCCAGTTGCAGACTTGTTACCATTCCGCATGCTGGCGCTAATCACTAGTCCCCACCCCCTCCCAGAGCCAGGAATAGATCCCCGCCCAGGCCTCTATCACCGAGCTAGAGGAGCTGCTGTGACCCGCTAAAACATTGGCTTGTCCAGCTCTGACAGTGAAGGCAGAGAGCTACTCCAGCAAAACCTCTAAGGAATGGGAGCCATTTCCCCAAGGGCAGCTTGTGGCACCAGTCCCGTTGGAAACAAAGGGAAACAGCAGCTATCTGCTAGGGACGCCTCTTCCACTAGCTACATAGTGTCCATCTTTACTGCAGGCATGAGGGTCTTCACAGACTCACAGATCCCAAGGCCAGAAGGGACCACTTGGGTCATCTAGTGTGACCCCCTGTAGAGCACAAAAACTGGCCCAAAATAATTCCTAGAGCAGGTCTTTTAGACAAATATAAAATCTTGATTTAAAAATTGCCAGTGATGGAGAATCCACCACGCCCCTTGCTAAATTGTTCCAACGGTTAATTACCCTCACTGTCAAAAATTGGCACCTTATTTCCAGTCTGAATTTGTCTGGCTTCAACTTCCAGCCATCAGATTGTGTTAGACCTTTCTCTGCTACATTGCAGAGCCCATGGTTAAATCGTTGTTCCCCACGTAGATACTTACAGGCTGTAACCTTCTCTTTGTTAAGCTAAATAGATTGAGCTCTTTGAGTCTATCACAACAAGGCAGGGTTTCTTATTTTTTAATCATTCTCATGGCTCTTCTTGGACCCCTCTCCAACTGATCACCATCCTTCTTGAATTGTGGCCACCAGAACTGGACACAGGATCTCAGCAGTGGTCGTACCAGTTCCAAATACAGAGGGAAAATAACCTCTGCTCACACTCAGAATTCCCTTGTTCATGCATCCCAGGATTGCATTAGCTGTTTTGACCACAGCGTCGCAGTGGGAGCTCATGTTCAGCTGATCATCTACCACAACTCCCAAATCTTTCTCAGAGTCCCTGCTTCTCAGGATAGAGTTCCCCATCCTGTAAGTGCGGCCTACATTCTTTGGTCCTAGATATATACATTTATATTTAGCCACATTAAAACATAGTGTTTGCTTGCGTTTTAATATGGCTAAGTTTACTTGTTTACTAAGAGAGTCAGATCGCTCTGACTCAGTGACCTGTCCCAGTCATTATTTACCACTTCCCTGATTTTTGGGTCACCTGCAAACTTGATCAGTGATGATTTTATGTTTTCTTCCAGGCCACTGATAACATTTTAAATAGCGTAGATCCAAGAGCCGATCCCTGTAGGACCCCACTGGAAACATACCTCCTCAATGACAATTCCACATTTACAGTTACATTTGGAGACCTATCAGTTAGCCAGTTTTTAATCCACGTAATGTGGGCCATGTTAATTTTACATCATTCTAGTTTTTAAATCTTCAATCCTATTTGGTAGCTTTGGTTCCTGTGATGGGGTATATAGATCCCACACTGGGCAGCACAGCATTAATGAGCTCTTGTGAGCTCGAGTGGCCCCATCCCATCACACCTGTTGGAGGGAGGAGCTTAAAAAGGGCAAATCCAGCACAGCTGATGGGAGAGCAGATCTTTGGTCCTCAGCCCTTGGAGCAAGGCCGGAGCGCCTCAGCTGGCCACTGTCCTACAACTCCTCCCTGAAGGAAAGGAGAGCACAATGCTGATCCACTTTTGATGGGCCTATTCTTCCGTATTAGCCTGTGTGCCCCATTGGGGCCACAGATTTCCAGAAGGAGCTGAAGAGAGAGCCTTGCCCCTCTTGGGGCAGCTCATGTCTGTCCACGTCTTTTGTCTTTGTTGACAGCCCCAGAACCTGCTGAGCCCCTTCAGACTGCACCAGTGTGGTGGAACACCCTCACAGCGCTGGGCAGAGGCTGGAAGAGTGCGAAGCCTGGCCTAGAGCGTGCCTCGGGGAAGGAATGCAGAGACAGACGCTTTGCAAGGAATGGGAGTAAGGGCAAATAGTGACTAAGATAGGAAAAGCACCGACTGATATTGCTTAATTACGACCTAACTTCCTTAGATGTGCAGTGAAGGAATGTTGGTGGTAAGTTTTAGTGGCATGGAAACTGACCGAAAACAAACCAGCCATTTGGGAACTAGAGGGCTATGGGAAAAGGGTCAGATATAGAACATTTCTTAAAAGGCCCATTAAAACAAGGTAATGGGTTCACTTGCAGATCTCCAGGAAGTGCACCTCGCTCCCAGGTGGTGTGGTGGAAGCTGGTGAAGAGGCAGTGTATTCTCCATGCAAATTGAGAGTTTGAATCTCTTCTGCATGGGAACAACAGGACCCTGCTTACATCCCCTGTGCCCTCAGTCCTCTCGACCCTGCACTGGATGCAGATGGGAGGACACAGAATCGGGGCCTAAAATGGTGTATTGGAAACTCTGTTAAAATTATAAACTATCACTTTACATTCTCAGGGGTTTGCCCCAGCCTGCTTGCAGGCTAGGGGGCACTGTAGGGAAGTGTGTGATCGGGGTCTTCAGCAGCCAGACTGCAAAGAGCTGACTTAGAGCTATTTGGGCCTCTGCCTGAGGGAGCAGCCTGCTTTGTCTCTCTCTGGTTTCGGTGCATTAGGGTTCTGGAGGCTAAGAAATAAAGCCGTCTCTAACTTCAGTTTGTATGCTGTGAACATAACACCTACGGAGGTTAAGAAACAATTCAATGACTTAGGCTAATCAGAGATCAGTGGCCTGCCTTTGCAAGATTTATATTTATAAGAGTCCCAAGCGAAGCCCTTGGGAGCTGTCACGGGCCAGGAACTTTCCTTAATTCCACTTCCATTTTCCTAGTGCTCGTTTCTAGGCCTCGCCACACCCCATCTCACTCTACAGACCGTCTCCCTGCTCTTTGGGTATTCGCAGACCCTCACCATGTCCCTCTGAGGAGCCCCCAGTCCCAGCCAAGTGGCCGCACTTTGCCCTTCCCCAGAGCCCATCCCTCCCGGCTGTGAACTTCCTCTGCTTCCCTCTCCATCGCTCCCACCTGGGGATGGCTTTCTGGGATGGAGGTGCCCAGAAGGGGATGCAGCATTTCAGGTATGGCTTCACCAGGGTCCTACAGAGGGATGGGGCAGAGCTGCTGCTCTTTGGGGTGCTGTGTCTCACTGTGGCCCTCCCAGCTCCCTTGTCCCTCCCGGCTGCAGGGCTTTTACCCCAAGCACTAGCTGAGTCCTCAGGGGACTCTCCAGATTCCCACCTCTCACCCAGTGCAGCAGAGCTCTTTATTTGTACTTCGACCCCCTCCCATGCTGCTCCCTGCATTCGTGGGGCTCAGTCCCCAGGGCAAGGAGCCTGCGCAGCTTCTGGGCCAAGCAGGCTGCCATGGCCAGGGCTCCTGCCCTGGGGCTCTGAGCAGGTGTCACGGATCCATACTCACAGGACAATCCCAGGAGAATCCTGTCTTGGCTGAGGTAGCTGAGAGTTCGAGGAGGCCCTGGCTGCTGTGTCCCCCCGCAGCCCTGACTAGCTGCATCTCAGACCCCCTGGATGGACCTGGCCTGATGCGGCTGCGAGTATAGAGGGAGGGCAACACTCAATGGCGAGGTGGAAGGCGCTGGGTGGGTGGGCAGTTGAAGGGCTCCCCTTGTCCCCAGCTGGCCCAGTACCAGCGAGCTAGGGCTCGCAGGGACTCTCCAAGGGGAGCTCCGGGGTGGGGTCAGGCAGGAACCTGGTGTTGTCGATCCAGCAGGCGACGCCAAGTGGCAGGAACATGTGCAGGTTGATCCAGAGGGTGAAGTAGTCCTCAGTTTTGCGGTGGCACATCCAGTTCACCACTTTCGGCTTGTCCAGCTTGGCCTCCAGCTGGTTCCCCAGGCACGCGGGCACTGCGGGCACCAGAGACAGAGAGGAAGCAGTCAGTCAGACCCCAGCGCCCAGCACGACAGGTCCTGGACTCTGCTGCTTGAGGTCTGTCCACAGCAGCCCTATGGCCGGCAGGCCCCAGGGTGCTCCAAGGGTGGCTCAGGAAGCACGGGCAGTGCCAGGAGGGCTGCACCTGCCAGAACCCATCTCTGCTGCCTAGTGTCACCATGGGGCTCCCTCAGGCTAGGGCTCCCCTAGGCGGGTGGGGACTGCATGGTTCCAGGCAGGGACGTGTTCAGACCGGGACACCTGTAGGGGGCAGGGACCACATTGGTGCCAGGCAGCGATGCGCTCAGGCTGGGGCTCCCCCCACATGGGCACGGCTGCACAGGAGTTGCACCAATGTAGCTGCCCCCCTGCAGCTCCTCAGTGTAGACACGCAGCACTGGTATAATAGTGAGTGACTTACATGGGTGCAGCTCACCCTGGTTTGAAACCCGACGTGGGTGTCTCTCTGGGCACGGGTGCAGACCAAAGGCTCTTGCTGCGCTGTGGTGGCCTGCTCCCCCTGGCAGCACTTGGGTGTCACCTGGAGCCTCTCCCGGATGAACCCCAAAACCACTTGACAGGCCAAGCATCCCTGGGTCCCCTAAAACACTGGGGGAGGGGCGGGCCTAGTCAATCGTTATGGGGACTTCAGAAAAGCCAGTGGCGCAAAGCTGGCAGCAAGAGTGTGACCGGTCAGTGGAGCTGGGGTGCCTGCCAGGGCTAATCGACTCCTCCCCAGTTCAGCCTGGCAGGAGGAAAGCAGCCCAGGGCTGGTGAAGCGGGGGGCCCTTAGGTGGGGACGGAGGGCTGTTGGCAGAGCTGGGTGGCTGCAGTTGGGGCTGAAGGGCACCAGTAGAGCTGTGGGTGGGCGATCGATCTGTGTGCTATGCCACCAGACCACCCGGCCTCTAGCTATGCGGTCTGGCCTTCGTGAGCCCCAGGCTCGCCGGGACACAATGTCCCACAAGATCATTAGATAATTATTAAGGGAATTTGTAACTGGGACTCCAAAGGTTATCACGGAGCTCAAGGGCGGCGGGCTGGGCAGAGCTCCTGCCAGCAGCCTGATGGGGGCGTGGGCTGGCAACCCGAGGATCAGTGCCTGGAGACGCAGACAAGACTGAAGATTCAGGTCCGGAGTTGGGTCCGCAGCGCTCCCGGCCTGTTCAGAGACTCAGCACTGAGTCTCACTGATGGCGTGGACTGTCCTAGGACACCAACTCATCCAGGGGGGCTTAGGGTCCTGGGACACCAGGGCTATCTCCCCACAGGGCCAAGGAGAGACCAACCCAGGCACACGAGGGGATGAGGCAGGAGGCCGCTCTGGCTACAGTGAGAATCCAGCACGGCAGCCATGGTCTCTGTTACAGTGTCACGACTGGGACGAGGGCAGTCAGACCTATTGGTCGGAGCAGGGGTCAGGTACCGGAGGTCAGAGTCTGAGGTGGTTCAGAGCACGAACTGAGAGCCAGGGAGCAGGAGGGTTACCAGGAGATCAGGCACCAGGTGCAATCGAATAGCAAAGTCGAGGACAAACCAGGGCCAGAAGCCAGCGCACAGGGTCTGGAGTGCAGGCAGGCAGCCTGGGCTACTCAGTCAGCTCCCCGTCATGGCTTCCTGGTTTATATACTGGTATCGGCCAACCAGGGGACTGTGAGGGGCTGCCACTCCAGTCCCACTGGGTGGTACTTCCCACTGAGCCCAGCCTCACAGCGTCCTCCTGTGATCACCTTACCTAAGCCTCCCATGGCAATGTGGAAGTGTCAGAAACCCAGAACCTCTTTGGGCCTCAGTTCTAGCCCCCCGGGGTCCAGCAATTGAACTCCAAGCCAGGCCCTGCTGATGCTCCAGGGAGCAGGGAGGTTCCATGAGTGAAGCCCAGCCTGTGGGGAAGTGTACCTGTAAAGGCTCTGGCCAGAGCCAGCTGGAGTGTGCAGAGGCACGGGTTATGCAGTGCTGGGCAGCTAGTGCTCAGACGCTGTCTGTAGCAGAGCTCCGACAAGCACTGCGTGATCACTGAACCCCGTGTGGCACCAGCGATAACACAAACCGAGCAGAGACCCTGAGGAGAAGAATGGAGCAGGCCAAAGCCCCACCAGAGCTGAAACAGCTGGAGAAGGTTTAAACCGAGCTTGACTCTATCTGCGGGCAATGGGCCCCAGCAAAGCAGAAGGTAGCCTTATTTCCGGCAGCAGCCGGTTCTGAAGCACGGTTTGCTCAGGCGGGGGAGGCTAACTATGACACCGTAGCACAGAAAGGTGAGGCGTGGTGCCCTCCAAGTCAAAATGAAACCTAAGAGAGATGTTTTTAAACACAGAGAACAAAAAGAAAGTGAATCCAAGAGAAGTTGGTGGCTGAGCTAAGACTGAAGAGCCAGTCTTGCCATTTGGGGGGGCTAATTGAGCACCTGATAAGAAACCAGGTCATGATAGGGACCTGTGACAAAAGACTGTCCAATCTCAGATGCAACATGGACTGTGCTTGCTACACCTATGGCTCAAGCTGAGACCCTGCAGAAAGTAATGAAGGCTGTTTCCAATTGAAGTGGGTTTGTCACTACTAGATCCTGTTTAGAGGCACCAGGATGGTGATTCCTAAGGTGTTATAGAAAACTATGCTAAAAAGGATACATGAAGATCATTTAGGGATTGACAACCCTAGGAGAAGGGCCAGAGATGTTTTACACAAGCCTCAAATGAACAGTGACATTGAGGAACCTGTCAAGGCTTGTTGCATATACCAAAAATACAAGCTAAGTCAAGCCAAAGAGCCTATGTTGTGGCATAGGAAAAACTGGACCCCTGGAGCATGGCAGGAAATGTGAACGTTGGCTGGAAAAAACTTTGCACTTGTCCTAGACGATGATTGTCACTTCCCTAAAACAGCCTTACAAGAAGATATTACAGGGAAGCAGGTGATTGTGCATATCAGATTTATTTTTGCTAGACATGGTATATTTGACATGCTAATGCCTGACAACAGGCTGTGGTTTAGTGGGCATGAATTTTAGCAGTCTGCAGTGAGGTACAGGTTTAGATGTGTAACCGCTAGTCCCCACAGTCTCTGATCCAGGGGTTTAGATGGAAGATGGTGTCAGAACTGTAAAGTGCCGCGTGAAAAAGGCTGCAGAGTCAGACTCTGACCCATACGTTAAATTATGGCAAGGCACCAAGGAAGCATGGGCTGTCACCCGCTGACATTTTATCCAACTGAAATAAACCATGAAAGTGCCTGCTCTGTTAGAAACTGACGTCAGAGTCACTGGGGACTTGCAGATGTAGAAAGAGACGCATAAGGCAAAATAAAAAACTCAGCATGATTTTGGGTCACAAGAGCTACCAGCACTTCATGAAAATGATTCAGTGCTTCTCTATGAAGGGGAACACAGATTGCAAACAGCTGTGGGGTCCCAAGAGGTTGCCCTGCGGTCATGTCAGGTTGTCACCGCAGACGGACACATACAGTGGTGTGTGGACAGGAGGCAGCGACTCCTGCCTAGCAGTTAGGGCCCAAGGTGGCACACCCAATGGCTCATCTCTGGTGGCAGCCCCGCCTACTAGATACTGCTCTCGAGGGCAGCGTTGCCTAATGGGTACAGTTCTCAGCACCAACCCCACCTAGTGGGTTCAGTCCATGGGCAGCAGCTCCACCTGTGGGTGCAGTTCTCAGGTGGGGTAGGGGCACCTGGGCCATCCCACTCCACCGGGTTCTGACCCAGGGCCCTGGGAGGCTGTTGCTCACCCATGGTGCCTTGCATCAGCCTCAAGTCAGCTTCCCTGAGTCACTTCCTACCTAGCCCCGACTGAGCTGTCCGGCTGCCTTTTAAACCTTGCCTCCAACCAGAGCATGCTCAGCAGGGGAGGAGAAGCGGGGCCTCCTAAGCCCAGAGTTGCTCCTTACTCCCCTCCTGTCCAGTGAGGGGTTAATACACTATGTCACACCTCCCTCCCTCAGAATCAGTGCCGGGGCACGGTCCTGTGGTTCTTGTGCCCACAATCTCTTGAGAAAAAATCTGCATTTTCATGATCCTAACCTACCCGGGGAAGGCTTTCAAAGCTGTACGGCTGCCAGGAGAGGTACCACCGCATAATCCTGGGGTTGGTGTCTTTTATGGTGTTCATCCATTGTAGCAACACATGGTCGTCACTAGCCGAAAGGCATTCATTCCCCCACAAGTAGCACCTCAGAGCATCCATGGCCCATTTTTTTTTTCATAGATTCATAGATATTTAGGTCAGAAGGGACCATTATGATCATCTAGTCTGACCTCCTGCACAACGCAAGCCACAGAATCTCACCCATCCACTCCTGCAATAAACCTCTCACCTATGTCTGAGCTATTGAAGTCCTCAAATCGTGGTTTAAAGACTTCAAGGAGCAGAGAATCCTCCAGCAAGTGACCCGTGCCCCATGCTACAGAGGAAGGCGAAAAACCTCCAGGGCCTCTTCCAATCTGCCCTGGAGGAAAATTCCTTCCTGACCCCAAATATGGCGATCAGCTGAACCCTGAGCATATGGGCAAGATTCACCAGCCAGATACTACAGAAAATTCTTTCCTGGGTAACTCAGATCCCACCCCATCTAATATCCCATCACAGGCCATTGGGCCTATTTACCATGAATATTTAATTACCAAAACCATGTTATCCCATCATCCCATCTCCTCCATAAACTTATCGAGTTTAATCTTAAAGCCAGATAGATCTTTTTCCCCCACTGCTTCCCTTGGAAAGCTATTCCAAAACTTCACTCCTCTGATGGTTAGAAACCTTCGTCTAATTTCAAGTCTAAACTTCCTGGTGGCCAGTTTATATCCGTTTGTTCTTGTGTCCACATTGGTACTGTGCTTAAATAATTCCTCTCCCTCTCCGGTATTTATCCCTCTGATATATTTCACTGCTAGGGCCTCCTTCTCAATGACCGAGTAGGTGGTTTCTCGTGGGAACAACTTCTTGCTGAGGTACACTCCGGGTGTTTTTCCCCGTCAGTGTTTTGGGGTAGCACTGTGCCTAGGCCCACCTCGGAGGCCTCTGTGTGGAGTGTCAACTTCTTGGTGAAGTCGGGGTGGATGAGCATGGGTTCTCAACTCAGCTACTCCTTTAGCTCCTGGGAAGTCCTCTCGCAGGTCACCAACTATGGAGCCTTCCTTGGGCTGATGTTCTTTGCCAGGTCTGTCAAGGGCACTGCGATGGTGGCGAAGTTGGGTATGAAGTGCTGGTAGTACCCCACAAGGCCAAGGAAGTAGCATACCTGGTGTTTTGTCATGCGGGGTGGCACATTTCGCCAGAGCCTGCACTTTGTCAGTGAGTGGTCTCAACCGCCCCTCTCCTACTCGGTAGCCCAAGTAGGTCACCTCTTGCCGGGCCAGCCAGCATTTGGTCAGGTTGGCTGTGAGCCTGCCTCCTGAAAGGCTTGTAGTATGACTGATACGTGCCTCAGATGGTCTTCCCAGCTCTGCCTGGAGATGATAATGTCGTCAATGCATGCCATGACATATGACCTGTGTGGGGCAGCCTTTTCCCCCACTTGGACAGTGTGACTGGGCACTCACCTTCCAAGCCCCTCCTTGTAGCCTGGGGTGGTGCCGCAGCATGCTGCCTCAGTTTCCTGTCTCAGCTGTCTCCTCAAATGCTCCAACCAGGCCACAGCATTTAAAAATAGTTTCCTTCTGGAGCTGGATCTAGTTTATTTAGTCCTCACGCAATTAGCCCTTCTAGGCCCTTCAACTGCCAGCTCCATGGTTCAGATAGTTCCCTCTCCTTGAGCCTGGAGCTCCGAGCCCTGTGTCCCTGAGCTGGGTCACAGTTCAGCCTCTCTCCCTCCCTGAGCCAGGAGTCCCCAACCCCCATCCCAGAGCTGAGTTTCAATCTCAACACTCCCTTTTCTCCCCGCAGGAGCCAAGCTTGCGCCCTGCAGCACTCACCTGCAGCTGCAGCTTTCCAGGCTTCGATCCAGCATGGCACTCCCAGCCCCCATCGCTCCAGTGTTACCAGCTGCCTCTCCAACTGCCTCTCCCGTATAGCCCCAGGCCTGACCTGAGTTCATCACAGGGCCAAAGTTATTTCCCCACCTGGGGAGGTGAGCTGGCCTTGTCGCTGGTGGGGCCGAGGCCATGTCCCCTGGTGGGGAGGCAGAGAGATGCAGCGACTCGGGGCCTGCCCTGCCCTAGTGAGTCACTGGTACTGGCTGGGCAGAAGCACACTACTGGCCTTGAACAGCTGCCCCCCTCCCCCGCCAATCGTGTGCAGTGCATTCGGGATTCTGAGACTGCGGGCAGACTTGCTCAGAGGCTGCACGCCATCCACACACCTCCCACATGCTGTCCATATGCCATCCACACGCCACTGGCATGTTGCCCAGACATGTCCTACATGGCCTTCACATGCCACCCAGGCACCTCCCAAACGCCTCCCACTCACCTCTCATATGCTGATCATATGCTTCCAACACGCCTCCCACATACTGCTCACCCAGGAGCTCAGAATGGTGTTTTCTCGCATGTCAGTACATGTCAAATACACAGAACATGCCACCCACATGCCAGCCCTTCAGGGGAGATGGCAGCGTCCCAGGGGTGGCCTTTCAGACACACATGACCACAGACTGAAGGCTTTCTTCCCACACCCTGACTGCAGAGACAGGCGGTTCTAGGATGTATCAGGCGAGGCATTTCCAGGAGAGATAGGGAAGTATTAATGCCCTTGTAGAAGGCGCTGGTAAGACCTCATCTGGACTAGTGTGGGCTGGACTGGTCACCTGTGTTCAAGAAAGATGAATTCAAGCTGGAACAGGTGCAGAGAAGAACTATTAGGATGATCAGGGGAATGCTGGGCCTGTCTTATGAGAGGAGACTGGAAGAGCTCGCCTAGCCTAGCCAAAGGAGTGCTGAGAGGGGCTGGTTTGAAGCTGGAGCTTTGTGAATGGGATGATATGACGGGGCTGCCTGTGATAGCAGGGACTAGATTCAATGACCCAGCAGGTCTCTTCCAGTCGGATGTTCTCCCCACTCCAGCTCAAGCTGGTCTCTGCACTGGGACGTCACTCATCAAACACAGCCTCTCCCAGCTGTGCATGGGGTCAGACAAACAGGGCAGAGTCCAGCAGCAGTGTGAGAACAAACAGCACAGCAGCTTCCACAAAAAATGCCAGCCCAGCTGGGTGATGTGACCGGGCAGGCCTGTCTGGCTGCCTTCCCTTGTGGAGCGTGTGAATGCTCCTTCCAAGCTAGGGGGTGGGCGAGGCTTTGGCTAAGAGGGTAAGTGCCACACATGTAGGGCAGAGTAGGGAGGTGACGTTACCTCTGTATATGCCACCGGTGGGACCATTACTGGATTCTGTGTCCAGTGGTTGTCCACACTTCAAAAAGGATGTTGAAAAACTGGCACGGGTTCAGAGCATAGCCACAAGAATGATCTGAGGTTCGAAAAACCTGCCTGACGGTAACAGACTTCAAGTATTTCAATCTATCTAACAGAAGGTTAAGAGGTGATTTGACCATGGTCTGTAAGTACCCACGTGGGAAGGCGATTTCTGATCACAGGGGGCTCTTTGAACAAATTCCACTGGCTGGAAACTGAAACTAGACATATTCAGACTGGAAATAAGGTATAATTAACCACAGGCCCATGGCACTAACAGAGCCCCCAGGGGACAGATGGGATAACATGCTGTCAGTGGCTGCAGGACCTCTTTCCATTTGTTCAGCTGCCATCCCCTTTGCTAGGTCCAGGCCAACTCTTCTGTCACCAAGTGCTGCCCTACACAACTCCTCTCACTTAGCCCCCAGCTCCAGCATGTCACACCAGTGGAGGAAGCAATAGGGCAGATCCAAATTGCCACCACGCTGCCATTCAGACTGAATGTGCCAAATCTATGTGCTCGGCTGTGCTGTCTTTAATCACTGTAACTTCAAACCACTAGAACACAGAGCCAGGACTGGAACCCAGGGGTCCGGAGCCCCAACACTCTGCTGTGGGACAGGGACAGTGCTTTCTATCAAATAACTGTGTAACCCACTGGCAAACTGCGGGACCAGACCCCCTCGGCTCCACCTGAAGTGCACCCCTTTAGTTCACATGCGAGAGCTGTGTGGGGGTGTGGCACAGGGAGCGGCTCACAGACAGGGACAGTCAGCGGGTGAGGCACCGGGAGCGGTTCAGGAAGAGGGACAGGCGGGGGGACAGCACAGGGAGCAGCTCAGGGACAGTCAGGGAGTGCAGTGCAATGCAGTGTGGGGATTGGCTCAGGAAGAGGGACAGGCAGGGGGGTGCGGCACGGGGAGCTGTTCAGGAAGAGGGACAGGCAGGGAGTGCTGTGCAGGGAGTGGCTCAGAGACAGGGTCAGGCAGGGGGCCCGGTGCAGTTCAGGAAGATGGACAGGCAGGGGACGCAGTGCAGGGAGCGACTCAGAGACAGGCAGGGGGCGCAGTGCGGGGAGTGGCTCGGGAAGTGGAAAAGGCAGGGGGTGCAGTGTGGGGAGTGGCTCAGAGACAGGCAGGGGGCGCAGTGTGCGGAGCGGCTCAGAGACAGGCGGGGGGGCTGTACAGGGAGCGTCTCAGGAAGTGGGGTAGGCAGGGGGCGTGCCGTGGGAAGTGACTCAGAGACAGGCCAGGGGTGCGGTACGGGGAACAGCTCAGGAAGTGGGACAGGCAGGGGGCGCGGCACGGGGAGGGGCTCAGAGACAGGCAGGGGGCGCTGTGCAGGAGTGGCTCACGGAGAGGGACAGGCAGGGGGCGCGGCACGGGGAGTGACCCAGGGACAGGCAGGGGGCGCTGTGCAGGGAGTGGCTCACGGAGAGAGACAGGCAGGGGGCGCGGCACGGGGAGTGACCCAGGGACAGGCAGGGGGCGCTGTGCAGGGAGTGTCTCACGGAGAGGGACAGGCAGGGGGCGCGGCACAGGGAGTGACCCAGGGACAGGCAGGGGGCGCTGTGCAGGAGTGGCTCATGGAGAGGGACAGGCAGGGGGCGTGGCACGGGGAGTGACCCAGGGACAGGCAGGGGGCGCTGTGCAGGGAGTGGCTCACGGAGAGGGACAGGCAGGGGGCGCGGCACGGGGAGTGACCCAGGGACAGGCAGGGGGCGCTGTGCAGGGAGTGGCTCACGGAGAGGGACAGGCAGGGGGCGCGGCACGGGGAGTGACCCAGGGACAGGCAGGGGGCGCTGTGCAGGGAGTGGCTCACGGAGAGGGACAGGCAGGGGGCGCGGCACGGGGAGTGACCCAGGGACAGGCAGGGGGTGCGGCACGGGGAGTGACCCAGGGACAGGCAGGGGGCTCTGTGCAGGGAGTGGCTCACGGAGAGGGACAGGCAGGGGGCGCGGCACGGGGAGTGACCCAGGGACAGGCAGGGGGCACTGTGCAGGGAGTGGCTCACGGAGAGGGACAGGCAGGGGCCGCGGCTGAGGAAGAGGGACTGATGAATAACCGTGAACAGCAGGAGAGAAAGAGAAGCAACAAGGAAGGCCCCGCACCAGCTCTCCGGTCCCCAGGCTGGTCCCAGGGCAGAGCCCTGCCTGATCTGTGATGGCAGCACCTGGCAGCGAATGAAGCAATCCTTCCAAAGGATTGTCCTGAGCTGGCCAGGCCAGGCTCCTTGGCCTGCTCCGTCTCCCCCAAAGCTCTCCGAGCGCTGGCTGCAGGCTGCCCCCCCCCACAAGCAGAGCCCCCAGGGAGTGTCTCCATGCTGCCGTGCGGGGGTGACCTTACCGAGTACCACGGGCGGGGTGCTGTTGGAGGGTGCTGCTTCTGGTGTGGCGCTGGGGGGGAAGAGCACGTTGAAGAGCCAGAACTGGGCCGTGGGCTGCGGGAGCCGCAGCAGCACCAGCCCGAGCAGCAGAGCCCTGTAGCCTGCGCGCCCCATGGCAGGTCCAGCCTTCTGCGCCTCCGAGCAAACACCCTTTTATTTCATCAGAGCACCGGGTCGGGCCAGGAGACGCGGGGGGGAGGGGAGAGCCGCAGGGGGACGGCTGGGCGGGGGAGGGAGAGCCGAGGGCAGTGACTGTGTGCACACACCGTCCCCAGTCTCCCGCTGCAGCCAAGGGCCCTCGGCTCGCCTGGAAACCAGCCCTCGGCCTCCCAAAAGCAGAGACACCCAGAGTGGGCGCCCACGTCTCCCCGAGCTGTCCCCCCACCAAGTGCCGGGGACAGCAGCCCTCCCCTGGCAGCCCCGCCACAGGCCTCCCGCACGGGGTCACGGCCCTGCGAACACAGCGACTGCAGGCTGGCACGACCGAGTGGAGCCCGGCGTTACCCCACGGGGCAGGGCGCTGGGCAGCAGGGATCCGGCCTGGCACAGTGCTGGTGTCTCTGGGCCCCGGGCCACTCCCCAGGGGCCCCAGCCTGTGGCCTTTGCACTAACTTGTCCCGCACAGCCCAGGCTCCGGGAGCTCGGCAGGGGCTGTTCTGCAACACAGCATGGCCACACGCGCAGCCAGACCACACTGCTACCGCCCGCGGGGGGCAAGCCCCACGGCTCCCACGGCTGGGGAGTCTGCCCCCAGTCAGCAGCGCTGCTCCAGAACGGGGAAGTCAGGGAGGTGTAGAAGACTCGTGTGTATTTCACACACACACACACACACACACACACAGAGTCTTCTACACATCCCTTCTACACCCCCCCTTCCACACACACCCCTTCTACACCCCCCTTCTACAGCCAAACCCACCCACCCTTTTACATCCCGTTTCTACACACCCACCCCCTTCTCCGCCTTCTGCACACACTCAACACCCTCTTCTACACCCCCGCTTCTACACATGCCCACACGCACACAGCCTTCTCCACCCCTTCTACACACACACACTTCTACACCCCTCTTCTATACACAGCCCCTTCTCCACTCACACATCCCCTCTTCTACACCCTTTCTATATACACACACCCCTTCTACAATTGCACACACACATACAACCCTTCTCCACACACACACACCACACACAAACACACACACACACACACCTGCCCAAAAATAGATGTTTTTCATTTTGTTCTAAATTTTCTGTAAATTTTTTGGATGAAAACTTTGGACACACGAGATTTTTGAAACAATTCTTGTAACGTTAGTGGGGCAAACCCACTTTTGTTCCCTTGTTAATGTTTTCTCCCACCCCACAGCGGTGAGGGGAGTAAAGAACAGAGAAGGGGGGCCCCAAAACAAAATAGTTCAAAACCAGAAAATGGCACCAACACGAAGAATTTCCACAAACGTTTGCATTTTGGTCAGAAAGGCATTTGCTGCTGAACTCCGGTCCTCCGGGAACTGCTTGACGAGCACCAGTCCTGAGCAGTAAGCGGCAGGCTGGGAGTTGCTGGAACCACCAGTGGGTTATGCCTGCATGGCAGATGTACGGTTTCGCGGCTGTGCGTATATATCACAATAGCTTTCGCCTGGAGTGGCTCTGTGCAGTCACATGCAAAAAACTCATCCCTCCCATGGCCTTGGCATTTCCAGGGCCCAGCCCTTGCTCCTCATTCCCTTCCAGACCAGGAGAGTGCAATTCCCAAGACACCGGCAGGCAAATTACGGCCTGCAGAGCTAAGGTGACCCTTCCCACTTAACCTTAACGCTGCCGTGGGCAGCCCTGCCCTGGGGAGTCCCTCAGGGATATCTCAGTACTGAGGGCCCGAAGGTGGGAGCTGCACACTCTGATCACCATCAGGCTGTGGCTTCATTCCCGTTGGACTTACATAATGGGTCAGTAAAGCCGCTTGAGTGGCCGGTGGCCGCACTATCCCCCGGCACACCACGCTGGCGGACCAAGCTCTTGTGAGTGATGGGATTGGGAACTGGTTCTTGGTGCCAGACCCGAGATCTCCACTGGGGCAGCCTCGTGGAGCCAGAGATGGATCTGGCCACAGATTCTCCCCTCCCTCGGTGCAAAAATCAGGGTTTGAGAAAGTTGACTTTTAAAAAGCAGCTCCGCTTCTCGTAGAGTCCTCAGCCAGGAGGGATGTGACGAAGTGGGACTGTTCTTAATGTTTCCTCTGAATAGTGTGGGGGTGCCTCAGTTTCCCCTATGCAGTTCTTAAGTATCTAGGTGGTGGGATAAGGGTGTATGATCATTGCAGAGCCCTAGAGGGCAGGTGTGTGCAGGGTTCTGGACACAGAGAATGGCCGACACCCTGTTTCCTGGCAACTGATGGCCTGGGCCCTTCCCCCCTGCAAGGTGAGAGCTAAAGAGTTGGAGAACAAAGGAATCAGGTGACCTCCTGGCCCGGGACAGGGACAAAGCCCAGAGGAAGAGGGGCTGGAGAGAGTTTCAGTTTGGGTCTGACTGGGGACATGGAGTGAAGTGCAGATGGGGTTGTCTGGCTCAGTGCCCCCCAAAATGGACCCGGCTGAGGGGTCCTGTTCTCTGCACCTACAAGCTCTGTGTTAGACCATGTTCCTGTCGTCTAATAAACCTTCTGTTTTACTGGCTGGCTGAGAGACACGTCTGACTGTGAAGTTGGGGGGCAGGACCCTCTGGCTTCCCCAGGACCTCGCCTGGGCGGACTCGCTGTGGGAAATGCACGGAGGGGCAGAGGATGCTGAATGCTCTGGGTCAGACCCAGGAAGGTGGAAGCCGTGTGAGCTGTGTGTCCTGCAGACAGGCTGCTCCCAGAGAGGAGACTTCCCCAGAATCCTGACTGGCTTCATGGGGAGCAGTTCCAGAGCATCGCCCAGGATCTCTGTGACAAGGGACCACTGTGATCATCTAGGCCAGGGGTTCTCAGACGTTTGTCCTGGTGACCCCTTTCACATACCAAGCCTCTGAGGGCGACCCCCCTTATAAATGAAAACCACTTTTTAATATATTTAACACCATTATAAATGCTGGAGGCGAAGCGGGGTTTGGGGTGGAGGCTGACAGTTTGCGACCCCCCATGTAATCACCTCACAACCCCCTGAGGGGTCTCGACCCCTGGCTTGAGAACCCCTGATCTAGTCGTCTGACACCCTGTGTAACTACAGCCTTGCCCCCAACCGGAGGCTGCATCAGATCAGTGTCCCTGGGGTCAGGCACTCAGCCAAACTGCGGGTTCTGCACGGGAGAAGATCCACCCAGATCCACCTGTACATAGCCCAGATCCACCTGTACATCCACCTGTACATAGTTAACTGCCGATGTAGCTGAGCAGCGATTAGGCCAGCAGCAGCTTGGCCTCATGCAGGCTTATGAGGGCTCAGTCCAAAAGCCCCACACCTGCAGATGGTGGACGTGCCTCGGGGAAGCTGGGTAGGAAGCTAGTCCCTGAGGTGTCTCCCTGGAAAGCAGAGGCTCCTGGAGAGAGGAACAGGCCTAGGCAGACAATGTGCCCCGGCAAGGCACTGGAGCAGCCCGGCAGAGAACGAACCGGGTATGGGATCTCCTGGGGCAGCGAAGGGTAAAGAGCTGTTGGGGGACGACTAGCGTCTGGCCAGAGACCTGGGCTCCAGGCAGGGATCAAACCTGCAAGTGCCCCCGGGCTGGGGTGGTGAAATGCAAGACTGATTAAGATGGGGCAGAGAGCTGCTGGTGGGGCAGCTGACTGAAGCTTTCCCTGAGGGCTTTGGGTTGCCCTTGTCTGTTAAATAAAGGGGGCCCTCTGACGAATGAGGCTCTTTACTACTAGAAAGGCCACCTTGGACTTGTTTATATCCTGGGTGGGGGGAAACCGAGGCTGGGACTCACCTGCAGGGCTGCGTCTTGCCCTGGGGGGTGTGCCAGGGTGCTCTCCATGCCATTACAGGCCCCAGATTCCCCTGCAAGCTCTAAGCTGGGCCCCACAGCAGCATACCCATTTCATGGCACCTGATGTGGCAGATGTGACTGGAGCGGTGACTTTAAACAGGAACAAAATGCGGCTGCGACCTTCACTGTTAGTCCGCCCCGCAGAGCCTAGCTGCTTAGTTCAAACCAGAGCAATAACAACCTCTCTCCCCAGCCTACGGGAGCAAGAACTTGTTGGACTGGCTGGATTTGCGGCTTGCTTGGTTGTGAGTGCCTCTGTGGGGAGGTGGGGGGCTGAGGAGGACAGGCAGGGAAAGGTCACCGGAGCGATTGCATTTAGCTCTGGACACAGCGAGCTCCCCGATCATTATCTCTGGCAGGAGGGAGCCTATGGTCTGGGGCCTGCCCCCTGGCAGTTCTGTCTCCTGCACTCACCAGCGGCTCCTGGTGGTTGTCCCTTGTGCCATTCCTGGGATGGGTGTCTAGACTAGTAACGCAGCTGTGGTTTAGTGGGGTCAGATACTGCGTTAGCCAGCCCCAACCTCAACTCGGGCCCTCAGCTGTGGGTCACAGGGAGGGGAGGGTGATCTCTCCACTACCCAGCCCAGTCCCACAGAGGGATCTCAGAACCAGGACTGCCCTTGGCCCAGGCTCTGGCTTCAGCGGGGAGCCCCTGTGCAGAGCAGCACCCCGGGGTGGGGTGTCCATGGGTCCTGCACTGCCAAGTAGATAGGTTCCATGCAGTGCCATGAGGCTGCTTACAACCAATGAGTGGTGCCCAGCGGCCTGGGGGTAGGTAGCTGGTATGCCCCGGCCAGGCCAGGGTCCAGTCAGAGGGGTGGTGGTGGGGCATGTGAGCCATGGCTATCTGGGCAGGTTTGCAGCCCAAGGGCCAGGGTGGCTGGGAGGAAATCAATCTCTGCCCTGTCTCTGGAGTGTGGTGCTGGACCAGGAAGGGTAGGGACAGCTGGCTCTGGTGCAGACCATCTGAGTGAGCTACCACAGCCTAGGACTCCTGCCATGGGGGCAGCGGCGGGCTGGGCTCCAACTTCCTGCCGGTGGGGAAGGACTGGTGCTGGTACCCTTTAGCAGAGAGGATGG